TTCATTCATTTAATTGCTCACAGAACTTACAGACTCACAGAGGCGTTTGTCATTAAGTCAGAGAACAGCAGAAATACTGAACATGTGAAAGTGTGACATTCATGTCAGACAGGAATACAATTACAACATATATGGAGAATAGAGCTTCCAATGAATAAAAAGAATTAACATTGATTTGCTTTTAAATTGAGCTTTTTCTTTCTTTTCTTTTCTTTTCTATTCTCCCTATAGTTAGCCTCAAATTAATTCCTACTTCTCAATAATTTCTTGAACGTTTCCTGGAGAGAACCACGTAGGTTGGTACTAAATGCTTTTAGAAATAAAGGAAATGTTCTGAGACTGTTACTTTAGTTAATTCGAGTAGTTGTGTTGAAGTTATTTATTGACTTTTCCATTAAAAAAATACCCGGTGAATATTTCTAACTCATTAATTCATCCTTGGACCCTTCATTCATGCTGAATACATTGTGCATGTGTAACTCAGCTGCTCTCCTCTGAATAAAAGTCTCCAGGTTCTCCTAGCTTAAAGAATTTAAAGATAACAGGAAGTGAACCAGCTGATCGCACTCAGCTTTCAATGTAATTAAAACCAAATGATGTCGATTTTTTCATGAAGTTTCTAAAGAAATAATTTGAAAATAAATGGGAATTTTTAAAATAAGCATAAGTGGGTTTTTTTTCCTGCAATCTAACAGCACATAAACGCAGCACCGTTCACCAGCTGTTTGTGTTTACACATGTGCACCATGTGACTGTGACATCAGTTTGACCTGCAATAGATGGTCACATGACCTCACTTCACGGCAGTCCCATTACCATTAAACTACTCAACCTGTCAATCAAACCAGCTGTACAAACACACACACACACACACACACACACACAAATCCACACACACACACACACAAATACACACACACACACACTAAACAGTTGGACCATGTACTTCAGTGTGTAGACAAGTGTGACCTCTGGCTTTGTTTACCCTGAAACAAAAGACCATGCACTCGTAACACACACACAGACTCACACACTCTGACACACACACACACACAACAATAGAGACAAATGGCAGTCAATAACTTCCTCCCTCCATCTTTATGGAACTCGTTAACTTCTCTCTCCCTAATGGCTCTGTGCTGCGCCTTTTGTTAGCCATACTGCTACACACACACACACACACACACACACTCAGACACTCAGCAGTCAGCTCAGGTCGCACACTAACAGCACTCGATGGATTTTCCTGTGTTGAGGAATCTTCAGTGTGATGGGACGTTTGGCTCAGAGGAAACTTCCCGTGCCAGATTTTTTAAAATGTTTTTTTTGTTTTGTTTTTTTTTTTACTAAAGTCTTGATTCCTGTCTTTTACAAAGTCAGTCAGGAAGTGACGGACATCAGGTTCATGATGGCAGAGGTGCCATGGCAACAGCTCTGTGAGGTTAACCTGCACTTTGATTTATTCTGGACTGCTGTCCCCATGATCAGGCTATAAGTATCCATCATGGATAATCTGAAAGGAATATTGTGTAAACTTTTAGGCACTTTAGATGTTTATTCATCAGACAACACCATCAGAGGCATCATTTGACATGACACAACTCTTTCAATGAACTCCTAATTCATTATATTTCTGTTTAGATTTGGTGAAGACTATGAAATCCCCACACTGGACGACTCGGAGAGACAGGTCTGGTTAGCCTAGCTTAGCACAAACACCTGAAGTGGGGGGAAACTGCTAGCCTAGGGACAATGCCACTGACTCCTGTGTGCAGCACCATTAAAGTCCTGGCCGTGTCCCTGTCTGTGTGCGCGTCTCTCTATAGGAGCATCATCTGTCAGACAGACAGTTTCTTCTCTGTTAGTCGGCGTCATCAATCTCCGATCTGCCAGTCTTATTGATGAGCCCACAGAGCCGCTGCCAGCTGGCAGCTGCGGGGAGAGACGGACAGACAGAGAGGAAGAGAGGACGGATGGAGCAATGAAGAGAGTGATAAATAAAGGGACGTCTCCCTGGAGTGGTAAGCCCCGCCCACCTGGTAAAAGACATTAAAAGTCCCATCTGATGCAGGTTTTATGACTTTGATCAGGGTAATGTTCCCCCTGATGTGCTCATCTTAAATGTTATTTATTTACCTTCCTGACGTGGCAGCCATTTTGACGTTCATCCCAGCACTGCAGAGGATCCACTCAACCTGTTTAACTGGTGATAAAGAGTGTTTCTATGAGCTTTATTGTGAAAAGCTTGACCTTGAAGACTTGGTGTATGAAACAACTGGGACAAAATATGACGATGGTCACGTGACCAGCAAGGATAAAACCGCAGGATTATGATATTATCAACAGAATAGGAGAAAATCAAAAGTAAATTCATTTTGTTTCATTCAGGATTTTCTCCAATAATTCATATTTTCCGAATTTGAGTTTTAACCCTCCAGACCTCATTGAACTATTTGAGACAGAAAAATCACTTGAACTGCTAACAGCTTGTAGACATGTTAAACCAACACAGACATCACTTTGTCTTCAGGGGACAAGCCAAAAAGAATGGGAGCCTTTGGTGTAAAGGCATCATTAAATGGTATCATTACTTACTGTAATGCTTTTCCCTTTTGACACAGGATGTCAGGGTGGGACATAAGTCTGTTAATTGATGGACAGAAAAATAATTATTCTGGCTATTCTGGTAAATTGACTGATGATTTCATTTTTTAAAGCAAAAATTGTGAAAAATTCCAAAAACTATCTGGTTCCAGCTTCTCCAATGAGAGGATTTACATTTCAACTGATACAAAACGATGACTGAGCTTTAGTTTGAGACTGTTTACGGTCAAATACAACTCCGTTTGAGGACAACACCGCAGGACGCTGACCCTAAACATAACAACATGGCAACCGAGGATGTTTTCTGTGCAAACAGTGGGACGTTCTTAACTGGCCCAGTCCGTCATGTCCATTCAGCAAATCGTGTGACAACCAGACTGAAGCAAAAAGCCTCAAAAATAAGAAGGAAGTCCAAAGCTGGTCTTAGAAGTATTTAAGAGCACTGTAACTGCACGTGTTCAAATGTGCTCAGCTCTTTTTCATTTCAGTGTTGTGCATCAGCTACTAGACTGAAGTCTGACAATGTCATTTGCTCTACATAGACAAAAGTATGCAGACGCTGCTGTCAATCCTGTTTATACACTTTGCTGTTTTCTCCTGAGTCTGTGTTTCCTGCTTTGTTTCAGGCTCCAGTGAAGTGAAATCACACAATTATAATTTTAGACAATAGTTTTAGTGGTTTTCTGAGTTTAGAGAGTCTTTGAGATGAACTACAACACCAACTGTGAGAGAGAACTACTAACTAGCATAATTTTAAGTTCCTATCTTGTAATTATAACTTAGATTTTGGGGTGAAAACCATTTACAAATATATACACAGAAGTGCTTGAAAACTGAGGCTGCATGAGATGAGTCGATCGACAAAGTTAATCAGCGACTATTTTGACAAGTGATAATTCTTTTGGTCATTTTATGTAAAGCAAAAATAATATGTGTTGATTCCAGTTCCAGTTTCTCAAATGAGAATTTAATGCTTTCTGTCATCAAATATGATTTTAAACTGAATATGTCTGAGCTGGTCAGACACAACATACAAAAGGCATTTGGAATCGTCACCTTGGACTGTAGGAAACTATAACCGGCTTTTTTCACTATTTTCTAAACAAATCGACAGATAAATCATTCGTGAAAAGAATCGTTAGTTGCTGCCTGACTGAAAAGCAAACAAACATGGACGCCCTCCGATCAGCCAAAGTCCATCGTTCGAGATCAAATCCAAACTAAATGGACGTAGTGTTATATTATCAGTGCACAGTCTCTATGTGATGATTTAGGTGTTTGCACATACGAGTGGAAGCCTCAGGTGACCACATACTTTTGGCCTCTTGTGCGTAGAAATATGCGACCTGGTTTTTCAACTACACCATGCAAACTTTCCAGTTGACTAGTTACTAAGAGAACTTGGTCAAAGTGCTAATCTGGTTAAAACTGAATCATTAGAATGAATGTAAACACAGAGAGACACAAACTGTGTGTCTGTGTCTCTATCCTTCTCCCTCTTGCTCTGGATTTCTTGGATGGAGTCAGATAACAGACGAGCAGAATTTCAAACAGGACACACACGCGCGCATGCGCACATGCACACACACACACACACACACGCACACACACAAACTGACATCTCTCTCTCTCTCTCTCTCTTTCTCTGTTACTGAGCTGTGAATGACACCTTCATCCCTGTCGCTTTAACATTCAAACATCTCTCTCTACACGCCAGGAATTAAATCTTCAACAAATACACACACACACACACACGCATGCACACGCACGCACACACACGCTGGGAACAGTGTCCAGATGTGTAAATGAGGTGCAGCTGTTTTAATATCACTCTGTTTTCTCTGCGCTCTCCTCCACTTCACCCCCTCTTATCTCATAAATCATCTCCTCCTACACCCTCTCTTCTTCTTCCTCCTCCTCCTGAGAAAATGGGCCCCTGGGCACAGGCAGGTAAAAGGCCCCTCCACCCCTCCTATAAAAGAGTCTGTGGTCGTTTTGTCTGCTTGTGTCTTTTAATTGAGCTCTGTGACTTTCAAAAGTAGGAATAACAGTTACTTCAGGGGCCCGAGAGGTCGGAGGGGCCCCAGGCCTGTGTCTGAGTAATCCATCCATGCCTAATCCCCCCTCCTTTCCTTTCTTCCTCCTGCCTCTTCTCTCCTATCTGACCATATGTTTATTTCCCAGCAGGTAAAACTGTCCGAGTCAAAGGTCGGCGTGTGCAAACAGGCTAATATTGACACATGGTGGGAGCAGCACAGTGTGTGATGAGTGTGTATACGTGCAGCTCCACCTCCGTCCTTCTGCTGGAAACCAATCCCTGTTAGCGAAACCCCCCTCTCTCTCTTCCCATCTTTCTATCACTATGTCTCTCTCTCTCTCTCTCTCTCTCTTTCAGAGGACGATCAGGGACAAGTGAGTGATCACTTTCCTCGTCTTTCAGCATCTCCGCTCGAATTAAACGGCGGCAGGTCAGGGTTGGTTAACGAACAGCCACCAGTCAGCTCCTAACGAAGCGGAGCGGAGAGGAAGGGGCGTTGGAGGGTTGGGGGTGGGGGGGTGTTACATCTCGTCTTACAGGAGATGCAGGGTGAGATACTTCCTCCTCAGCTCCTCTTACCATAAACTTTAAACACCAAAGGCAGAGAGGGAGGGAGGGAGAGAGAGGGGGAGTCTGCCAGCAGCTGCACTTGATAGAAATAGATTAACAGTGAAACTGTCAATAGTCGTTGTGTTTCCATCTAAATGTGGCAGAAATTGTTGAGCTAATTCTCTAAAACTTGCCAAAAGGAGGCGTGAAGTCTGAAATAAATAATCATTAGGGACACTAATGAGGTGGAGATGAACAGACAGGTCACTAAGAACAACGGGTGCACAGTAGAGGTTCACTGGGGAGGTAGAAAACACACTGAGATCGTTTCAGACGTCTCACATCCAGATAAAATCCAGGCAATGTTGTTTACACTCAAATATCTACCAACATATCTGCGCCTGTTGGTCAACATCACATGTCTAATGTGCCTGAAGCCGTTTGGTAACCGACAAAAACACAAGAGGATAAGCTTACTTATCAGTAACAGTTTAGTTGCTGTTAACTAACAACTACATACAAGCTAACAGCTAAGCTAATTCAAAAATGAACAAAGAGGAGGGGCGTGTGTGGAGCAGAGACTTTGGTCACTCAAACAGGCTGCGCCCTCAATCCTCCATAACCTTAGTCCTTAATAAAATGTAAACAGGGGAGTTATATAAAAAGGCGTCACCAAGGAGGAAATTAGCTCTAGAGACCAAAACAGATTTTTGTACCAGGCTGTAAACATGTTTATTTTAACATGGGAGTCTATTGGGATTGACTCACTGTTGGAGCCAGAGTGGTCATTAGAAGAACTGCAGCTTTTAGCACTTCTATTAGAAATAGTGTCTCAAGGTCACAACCGTCTGCTGCCTGCTGGTGGCGCTAGAGGAAGAGTCAGAGTGCATTTTATGGCAGTGCATCTGACGGTTGTTGAGATATCTCAGTCTGGACCGAAGTGATCAGGAAGATCATCAATAATAAAGATCGGTCTGAGATCAGGCGGAGATGTCGTCTCTGCTCTGCCTCTAATGAGATTGTTGGCTGTTGTTGACTGTCCAGCTGCCCCAGATTGAAGGTGTGTTTTTCCACTTAGGTCACCTGGCCAAACTCCACCCACGCGGGAGCTGCCAGCAGTGTTAACAAACGCTCCTCTGTGTCAACATGTTCCTTTCTGGCACTCTCACACACCCAAGAAAAATGAAGCTGCGTCACGGTTCACAGAAGCAACGGACGACGACCACGACCCCACACGTGGAACGAAGGGCTCCGATTGGTCAGCTGTTAGTGAAGACGTTGCTGCATTTAGGTGCAGTTGGATTCCTGCGATTCGATTCCCTCTCACTACCAGCATATCCTTCCTCTAATACAATAATGTCACAGCTTTTTTGAGAGGTAAAATTCAATTACAGCAGTGCTCCATCTGCGCACACACACACACACACACACACACACACACACACACACACACACACACACACACACAGAAGTGGTCACAGCACTGTCAAGTCATGACAGCCTGGGAGAGACTTTTTTTTTTGGGTATGTGACTGAATTTAACAACACACACACATGCACACACACACAGAGCGAGGACTTGCTGCCTCCTGATTTGCTGACTTTGCAGTTTGTCGCCCTGTCAGGGTAACGTTTCAGCTGTCAGAAGTGAAACTGCTAAAATGGCATTTTGGGTGTTTTTTTTTGGGGGGGGGGGGGGGGGGGGCAGATCTAGTTTCCTTAAACTCAGATCTCATCTGTTTGTCCACATATTTGTCCCGTCTCTTTGTCTTTCTATCTGTCCGTAAAGAGGGTCCTTTAACCTTGGTGCTCACATGTTACGTGAAGCTCTAAGAAGAAATTGAGGAAGGAACGAAGGGAAAGAAAGATGGAGGAAGGAAGCGAGGATGGTGGACAAAAAAATACAGTGACAGAGGAGAGAGGAAGGGAAGAAAGAAGGACAGAAGGACAAATGAAAGAAGAGAGGGACAGGTAGGTGTAAAACGAGTCCAGGAATGAACTGGAGTGAACCAGAAAAGAGAAAAGACCAGAATATGTTTCTCTGCCCCCCCACCCTCCATCACCACCACAAATGTTTGTGTGAATATAGGACGCTCACTCCTCTTCCTCTCCCTCCTCTCCGTCACTGTGCAGCCGTCAGCAGATTCTCCCAGCATGCCGAGGGAGTCAGCTGAACGAGCGCTCCTTCCAGCAGCTTTTAATGAAGCAGCTTCAATGTCTCGGTTAACGACGGACGATGAAGAGTGAAGAGAGAGAGCGGGAGAGAGAGCGAGGTGGAAGGAGAAGCAGCATCACCTGTCATTCACACAGCAGCAACCACCAGGTATTGGAAACTGAGGCTAGGTTGGTGTGTGGGAGAAGCACCTGGGTTCTTTAAGTTAAATTAAAGTTAAGTTACTCTTGGGAACATTCAGAGATGGATTAAAACCCAGCAGTTTGAACAGACTGACGGACTTTAAGTTAATACTCTAATAAAATGGTTAAAACTTAATAGCGTTTGCATGTTTGAACAGGCTGACAACAGGTTAGTCACAATAGGCTAAGATACTAATAAGATGCCAAGTGTAAAGCTGAAATGCTTAGTTGATTAGTTGATTGACAGAAAAATAAGCTATTTTGATATGACAGGATGTGTACAGGATGTTTAGCATGTTAGCTTGGTAGCAACTAGTTAAAGATCAAGATTATGCATCAAAAAAAAAAAAATATATATATATATATATGTATATATATATCATCATCTGTTAATGTAGGTTAGTCAGAGTTAGCTCCACCTCCACCAGCTATAACACTAACTTCTTATATATATATATATCTGACAGGGGCATAATGAGTTCTTTTACTTCAGATGATTCCTGATGAGACTTTTAGTAAACATTTTGCATTCACTGATTTTACTTTAAGTTGACAAGATGGCGCTGTCCAATCATAAACCACTAAGGTAGAGTAGCCTGTAGCCATATATTAACCTCTACATTGATGACGACAGAATGTGACGAACCATGAAACCAGTTATTCTGCAGCCTGAAATCTGACCCGTGATCAGTTTACAGCCGCTGTCGTTTTCAAGCTCCACTTCCCTTTTCCACAGGAAGCTGAGCAGCTGGAAACTCACTGCACAAAAACCGATCTGTCACCCAATACACCTGGAGGGAACACTTTACACAGACACACACACATGCATGCACATACACACACAATCTCCAGATCAATTGAAACTGTAAATCGTCTTTTTCATACCTCAACGATTTGCTGATGATCTCTGGTTTCACTGAAGCTTCGTCAGGAATACAGATGCTAACGAGAGGCAAAGTCTCACGCACACACACACACACACACACACACACACACACACACACACACACAGGTTCCTTGCTGTTACTCAGGCCTCATTCTAATTCAGCAACAACTCTCACTTATTTCATTACCTGTCCATCACACACACACACACACACACACACACACACTCCTTGACCTGCGATGATTCACTGTGAAGCTATGAGGTTTCAGTCTGAAAACCCACACACACATCCAGTCCAACAGCATACCTCGCTCTTGTCTCTTCATGGGAACCGCCATCAGCTCCAGGTCTGTGTGAGCGTATGTTTACCTGAACACAAGAACATCAGATTTCCTCTGAACCGAATCTGTGCTGCTCAGTTACAAATATTCTTGCTGGCTCCGGTACAGCCAGAAGCTGCCTGAGACAGATAGCTGAGGAAGGTGTGTGCATTTACAACACACCACAGGTGCACACATACTGTAGTCCTGGTTTTTGGGACCTCATCCTGAACTCCATCATACCGCAACCATAATAAACTTAGTGTGAAAAACGACAGTGTGTTCTGTCTCTTCGCTGCACTAAACACACTCAGCTGTGACTCCATGCACCTTCCCTTTAGCCTGACTTTCCTTCAGGATATCTGAATTGATATTTGAATCTGAAAAACAGCGGTACCCTCCCTCAGACTCGTGGACTTGATCACAGTGATGATACACAGGAACTCCGACCAAAAAACTCCATCCTGCTAACCCGCAGTTCGCATCACGCAAGCTGCGATTTAAAACATGAGATCATTTACCCTCCATTTGTTTTGACACGTCTCAATAATCAAAACAAATGCCACACTCGTGACTCATGCATGAGCATTCAATCATTTTCAAATGTGACATTTCAGGCGATCTGCATGTCACGACCTTACGTTGCATCATTCACTGCCTTGTTGGATACAAAATTAGTGGAGAGGAGCATTAGCTCAAAATGCAAACCTAAGAAAGCATACAGAAGCCCTGATATACTCCAAGACGGACAAGGACAACAAAAAACGAGCATGGGGTTCTCAGAATTTAACAATCTTGCAAACCATTTGCAGAAATTTGTTTTATAAAAAGAAGCAACATCACAACAATCTTCCTTTTACGAACTTAAATTTAAATTCACAAGCAGAAAAAATTAATTCAGCTCAGTTCAACACACTCAGGGGTTCTGCAGCTGCAGCCTCAATTGATATGGTATGACCAGTAGCATATGGTGGCTAATATTGATTAATGTTAACATTGAACTTTAGATAAACACTGGGGTTTAACTGCCTTTACAGACTCTTCTTTACTTGTACTAATGTTAATGTACACTATATTTTAGCAGTTTAATTTCCTCTTTTGGCCACTGCTCAGCAAATGTTACACAGTCACACTTTAAAGCAGTTAAGTATTTCTATATAACCTTAAATCTTCATAATAATAAACCATAACAATCAGTATCAGTTAGTCTTTGAGGAACAGCTAATCAGGACAGCACAGCACAGACCAAAATCTGTTGACTGAAATAACAAACTATTACTTTACTTTAACTAGACAGTAATGTGTTCATTTAGAAAACCTACTGCTCATAGTCAGAAGCTGAACGAGCAAATTGGTTTTCAGGGGAAATAAGACGCATTTTAGTCAGAAATTAAACCTGCACAATGATTTTCAAGGCCAGGCTGTAGATAAAGTCACTCATTCACTTACTCACACTATTGTCCATGTTGTGTAAAATTTTCTTTGGCTTTGGTGCAGTTACCAAAACAATACAAGATAAATGACAATATAGAGGAATGGTGAGTACAAGCAACAGGAATGGGGTGTGATCACATTTGCTGGTCTGATCCTCCATAGACACTGTCTGTGTTGTAAAGACTTCAGAAACTTATTCACATGGCCACATTATCCAGGTTTTAATCCTCACACCAGACCAGAAAAATTGGATTCTTGTTTACATCTTCCTCATCCGTCTCTCTCTCTCTCTCTCTCTCTCTCACTCTCTCTCTCTCATTTTTCGGTTTCTCTCTACCATTCGTTCCTCCACAGGTGCTTTAAAAACACCTTTTGAATCTAAATTCAAACAGTTTTTAGAAGTACTCAAATGTGTTGAATGCCGAGCAGGTGATGCTCAGTTTGTGTGTTTGTGGGAAAAGTGCTGCCTGAGGCGTTTTTTCTGAGGAGGAAAAAAAAAATGCTGACAGTGCACTGCGTTTCCATAACAACAGACGATCGTTTCAGCTCACCTGTTGCTCTCCTCTGTGCTCTTTTGTACACTCACAGAGCACTTTAGTAGGAAAGCTGCGCTAATACTGCTCTCAAAACCGCCTCAGTTCTTCGTGGCATGGATTCAAGATGTAAATGTAAGCAACTAAAGCCATTATTGTAAGAATACAAACGTGAGAATTTAAAATTTGAATCCTCTGAAGTTATAGATGTGTTGTGTGCTCAAGTATCAACATTTTAGTTGCTCTTCCTGTTTCAGTGTTAAGTGATTGATGTGTTAGAGCAGCAATTTCCTGTTGTAGGTGATTCGAGTGGAGCTCGATCCGACTGCTGCATTATACTGTTACAGTGTTAACTATGGCAATCAATCACTGTTATGTTACATGTATCACCTTTATAACTATATTAAGTTATGGCATGCACCACTTTACATTGTTATGTATCACTTATTTCACACTCTTTATTACTATTCTTTTATATTACTTCTCAGTTATGATTATATTTTCCATTATACATCACTTTGATATTATTAATGTATTATTTCATTATTATGTCATGCATCACTGTTATGCTACATTGCGTTTCACCTTTGTGTTACGTTCACCTTTACGGTTGTTTGTCAGCCCTGTGATTAGACTGGCGACCTGTCCAAGGTGTACCCCCGCCCTGCCCTCACCCCATTGTCAGCTAGGATTAGTGCCAGTAGTTGGAACGTGTTGCTACATGGCTTTGAATTATAGTATATGTTTGTTATGTTATATATTTCTGTTACAGCAAGTTTATGTTTCACTGCTATGCTACGTTTTACTATTACGTCACGCTACGTTAATGTTACTAGTAGCTCTTACATTATGGTATGTTATTGTATTTCTTATGTTTTTTATGCATTAGCATTACATTAAGCATCACTTTTATGTTATATGTTATGGTACATTATATGGTAGGTTTATATTATGTCAGTTAAATATAAATCTCAAAAGTAACAATATTTGCCTGAGAGCTATAGTGGGTTTAAAGAATAACATCTCCCAGAGGACAGGTAGCCTCTAAATTACACTTGTAAAACTTGCAATTAGCACTCAAAGTGTAATCAGCACAGTACTTACATTTACATTTACATTTCCTCATTTGGCAGAGGCTTTCATCCAAAGCAACGTACAGGGGAGGGACAACACTAAAGCTTCAGTGCAGCAGGAAACCTAGTTCATAGTAAGTGATTGTTAGTAGTGTGCATGTATATTACAGAGTAGTAGTACCACTTATGGAACTACAGCTACAGATAGGATAAATATGACATAGGACACTGGGTTTGAAGGAGCAGGGGTGGGGGGGGAGGCGATCTTGAGTTGTGTGACGCCTGATGTGAAAGCTTTCAAGTCGTAACCATGGAAACCTTTCTCATGTCGACACCCTGATAGGACGTGAGCGCAGCGCTGGGACAAAACAAACAGCGGCAGACTGAGCTCCCAGTCAGACCAGCTGAACTGGTTTGGTGAAACCAGAGCAGAGTGTCAGTGTGTCAGATAAACACATTCCTGTTGTGTGTGTGTGTGTGTGTGTGTGTGTGTGCGTGCGTGCGTGCGTGCGTGCGTGCTGCGTGCGTGCGTGCTGCGTGCGTGCTCTCCAAATGAAGGATATGTCCTTCTCCTTTTATTGCTCCAGTCAGAGTGTGTTTTAAATATTCATTCCTTCCCACTGAAGCCGGCGTTGCATTAAAATTCCCTTTGCAGCACTAATGGCTATCAGCCCGCAAGGGGTGGGGAGGAGCGAGCGAGGAGGAAGGCAAGAGGGGGAAATAGAGAGAAAGAGAGAGAGAGAGGGGGAAGAGGTGAGAGAGAAAGAGAGAGAGAGAGAGGAAGAGGAAAACAGGACAAGACAACCAGGGATTAAATACATTTGTTTTCTCTCGTACTAAATTAGTATTGACGGCAGCTACCTCCCCGTCTGCACACACACACACAGCCACGGTGAAAACCTAGCCATGTTGAAAATTAATTACTCAAGTGTGTGTGAGGTGATACTGCGCACACACACACACACACACACTCTACACATATATATTGTGCACACAGAGACAGACATATACACACAAGTGAAAGTGGCAGAGCAGGTTCTAGCCCAGCTGCTCTGCTACATACTGACAGTTGAAAGGATGGGTATATATGGGTACACTATATATATGTGTGTGTGTGTGTGTGTGTGTGTGTGTGTGTGTGTGTGTGTGTGTGTGTGTGACAGTTTGTCTCTGTATAGCCGCTCAGCTGTCAAAGGAGAAAGCAGCAGGAGAGAAGGAAACAAAGTGGCTCCATGTCGGCCCAGGATCCATCCTTCCATCAGCACAACAGAATAGAATAGAATAGATTATGGTCTAGCCACACCTTTGAATTTCGTCTCCGATCCATACATCGAACCTCAAAGTAAAAACTGCTGAATGTTAACAAAGTGATCACAACTTGGTCTTATTTACATCACGCTCATCATAACAAACAGAGTCTTATAGACTTGTATGCGTGCAATTGTCAGCCCACATCTCCTGCTCTTCTCCGATCACTGATCATTTACAGCCCAAGAAACGAAAGCTGCGTGATGCAAATAGGGAAACACACAAGAGAAGGTCGTCACCACTTCTACTTTTTTCTGCCACTAACTCAACATTAACACTGACGTTATGTATTTCAGTTTAGCCATGGTTTGTTATTTTTACCTTACCTTACCTTATTGAAAATCTGAACCCCTCCCCTCCATCTCCCCCTTCATCTATGTTAAGGTTTTGTAAAAAAAATAAAAATAAAATTTTTTTTAAAAAAACAGCAAATATGTCATGAGTCTCAGAATTAGGACAGACAAAACTAATGAAAGGAACTTTATATGAGAGAATAAATTGCCCAGCCGTGGTGGTGGAACAAAGGATTAAAGTATTTGAAGCAGGGGTGTTACTTTAGCTCTATAATCCTGGAAACAACACAGGACACATTGTTAATCTTGATCCTGTGTCTTTTAGGAAACCAGTTCACTGTGTAAGAGCTCTTCGGTGAAAAGCAGCTCAGGAAGTTATTAGTTTGTTAACATCTTGTTTGACTTGTTTGTTTTTCCTGCAGCTCTCCTGCCTGCGCTCTGAAACACTTGTTCCTCTTCCTGTCCTGCACATCTCTCCAGCTCCGGACGCTGTGAGAGTCGATGGGTCCCGTCATTATTTACATGTTAACTCTGCTCTAACGTCTCCGATTGGCTAGGGCGACTCTCAGAAGATGTTTTTCAGACTAAAAGCAGCAAAAAAAAAAAAGAAAGAAAGAAAACGAAGCTGGTGAGATTTAGCCGGGCTTTGTGAGGCTCGAGGAAAAAAGCAGGAAGGAGAGACGGACGTCTTATAGTATTATGGACAAATCTACCCCGTTCTAGCATGTGGATCAACCAACTTTCATCTGATCTCTTCTGACAGAGAGACATCAGAGACTCACAGGCAGGTTGGTCAATCCACAGACGTCGGGCTCGTCTGGTTCTGAATCACAAAGATGTGAATTTAAAAAGAGGACATAAACAAATATTGGTTGACCTCTGGCTGTTCTCATCTGTCACCGTTCGAGACTCGCTCAGATATTTGCTGTCACCTTTGACCTCCCCTGGTTGTTGACTCCGATCATGAATGTGAAGGTGACTCCGCTGATATTAAACTCCGGCACCTGAGCTGACTGAAATCAGCGTGGCGAGCGTTAGTTTTTTATCCACTGCAGATAGACGAGAGGAGGAGTAGGAAGTGTTCTGATGGACACTGCCACTTCCTGCTGGAGGATGGAGTTGGGGGGGGTGGGGTGGTGGGTTCGGGGGTGGATCAGGTTCAGACACAATGTCCGACAGCGAGCGGCTGATTTTATCGACTGCTCGACACGCCGCGACGATCGAACGGCAGCTAAATATAGATGCAGGGGAACAGAACAGGACAAGCTGAGTGTGCGTCTGTCTGTGTATATATGTGTGTGTGTGTGTGTGTGTGTGTGTCCAGAGGTGTTCAGGAACATGAGGCTGCATCTCCGGCTCTTAAACATTAATGCTGTGGGTCATCGTTAGCCTCGTGATGCTAATGCTGCAGCTGGTATTAGCTCTCTGCTTTCTCTCGTCATTAGCAATGCTAACGCTGGTGCTGCTGAAGGGCCCATCACATTAGGAGATATTAATGCTGCCTTGAGGTCATGTGACATGGAAAGTAGTGTTGAGAAGAAGAGGCATGCTTGTGATTTTCAAGCTTCAAGACTTTTGTAAGATTTTCTAACTCAAATCTGTAAATTATAGTTCCCCTCAAAAGAAAAAAAAATCTGTGTATCTTACTGTGTACTTACTGTCTGACAAAAATAAACTGACAAACCCCAAAAAGACTCCACTTTAATATTTCGTCGGGGGCCCTTCTGGCAGCCGCTCAGCCACTGTCAGAGTGATATTAGCACTGTGTGAAAGAACACAGCCTGTCATTCATTTCACTGAGTTCACCTGTGGGCGCAGTGGGAGCGCAGAGGCAAGCGGCTCTGACAAAAACACACAGGGTCATCCTGTGAGGAACACCCAACTCCACTTTTTCCCAAAACATCATTCATAAACACAGCCTTCTACAGAGAGTGATGCATTGTGGGTGGTTTGTTGCCTTACTGTTGCTAGGCTACTCAGTGTTTCAGTCAGTTTTCTAGTGAGTCTGTCAGCGTGATTGGCGGCACTTTAACCTGCAGGAGTTTCTGAAGGCGGGTGTGACGTGTTTTTGTTGCCACACAGGAAGTAGATTCAGTTCAGGGTGTCTTTACAGCAGAAAGAAACATGGGTCAGGAAAATGGTGTGAGAGAAAATCAGAGTATGAGGCTGAGGCTTCGTCCACACCACAATATTTTCACTCACGGTGTTTTCAAACAAAAACTATCTCTGTCCAAACTATCATACCTGTAAACACACACATACCTGAGAAATCATCAGCATGTGTGAGCCGGTGTAAAGAGAAAGCAGATTGTCTACTCTGCAGTTGATTAGTTGCTAAAAATACTACGAACAAGAAACAGCAAAGACAGCTGCAGTGGTAAAATGCTGAAGTGAGAACAGCTGCTAGCAAAGACAACAAGGTCAGTAACACTTGTATTTCATTATCTGGGTTGTATTCACCACTGGTAGTTGAGGATGATAAGAGCCAATCAGGAGGGACCGCGGGTGTCTATGTCATTGTTTCCAAAAGTCTCAGTTTTCGGTGCTCGAAAAACTCGTAGCAAAAGACAAGAAAAATTAAATTAAAACGTAGCGTGAACGTAGTCTTAGCCTTGTAGTCGTGACAAAAAGTAAATTAAGATTTAATTAGTTGTGGAAGACATATTTACTCCTAAACTTAAGACTCCAAATTGTGATTAGGAAGTGACTTGTTTTGTTGCACAGTCTGTACAATGATGTGATTGTACATGACCAAATAAGCTGCTTTAGCACGTTCTGTGATAACTAAAGATCTCAAAGTTCATTTGGCTGATGGTTCGTTTTCTGACTAATTAAAGAAAAGCAAAAAGCTCATTGTTCAGTATTTGTCTTCTCTTCCATTGAAACAGTTAACTACAGCCTCTTCAGTTCGTCATGTGACCACATTTGTCCCGATTGTGTCTCCTGGTGAAGAGGAGGAAGTGAAGTGGCCACCCAGCCCTCCACCACCTGCTCCTTTTCTTTTCCTTCTCGTTACCTCGAAATTCAGGTGGAGCCACAAAGAGACCACATCCACCATCATGTGGGATATTAAATTAAAAAATAATTCTTTACATACAGATGCGTCTTCCTCATTTTGTTTGGACCTATTTACTTTATTTTATTCAGAGTACTAATCCATTAGTCCCACTGATATCACCTAAACTTTAATCCATATTTCATTTCTTTAATGACTTATTATTTAGATTATTTAGATCTTTATAGCACTTTCAATACAACTGATACTTCACCTTCAACACCTAAACTCAAACTTTAACCTTTTTCATGAAGCCACTTCAACTTCTATAAGTTCTCAGTGCTTCAGGTACGACTTCATGTATGATAACATCATAGATTTCAAACATTGGCATTTTATGGTCACTATTATTCTTCTTTTGGAACTGAATCACGTTCAAAGCGAGGAAGACTAAGTGGAAGAGGAGGAGGAGGAAGAGGAGGAGGAGTCACCAGCTCTCCTCCCGAGGAGCCTGTTGAGAAACAAATGGGTGCAACGACAAAAGGAAACCATTTGGATGAAAGGGGGGGGGGGGGGGGGGGGTGTAGTCAGAATAGCAGGGGAGCAGGAAGGGGGTAGTTAAATGTCTGAAGAAAGGGGGTATGGTTGAAGAGGGGTGGGGGTAGGAGGTGGGGTAATAATGGGGCTGACAGTGGTAGTTCAGGTAGAGGAGGGGGGGTGAGTGGTGTTGGTGTAAGACGGTGGAGGTCAGGAGTAAAACCAGCATGTGGTCTGGGCTGGACCTCATTTGGATGTGGCTTTATGTTTGCATGGCCACATGTCGTCCTGAAGCCAGAGAGGAAGGGACAAAGGTTTTCTCACTCAGGATTTTCAGTTTATGACAAAAATCCGTCTGTTATCTCTTTGTCTTTGTCTCTCTTGTTTAATAAAAAACACGTCATTAAAAGTAAAAACCAAGCACAGACAAATCTTTGCAATAAAGGGAAAACCTGAGGAAACGATGCGGGGTTCATTCACGGACTGAGAAAGTTAGATCTGTTTTAAAGTGGCTGCACAAATTGCACCATTAATCATTTTCTTATATTCACCTATTTTGCTTCATTCTCTTTACATTTCTTTCATTAACTCTTTAATTTTTCTGCCTTTTCTTTTTTATAATGTATTGATGAAACGTTATCCTTATTAGTCTTTATTTGCATTTTCTGTGTGTTGGTTCTCCGACATAATTCACACTTGTTAATATCCCAGCTGTGCGTTTTGAAGCTGTGCGATCATTGGTTCATGAATCATACACCATACAGTGTGTTGATTTGATTATCTCGCTGCACGAACTGTGTTCCTGTCACGCCACAGACAATTGTTGCTGCTCAGATTGTTGTTTTGTCACTTTCTGTACTCGCACATTCTGCTCTGTCGACATGTTAGATATTCAGATCAGTCACCGCCCAGCAGAACACTGCAAAATAAATCTAATTAGTTCTAAACTCGCTGGGAAAATGGCGAGTTTGTAACCGAAGAGAAGCGTCACATTTGGCATTGATGGCCACAGTGTGATGGCGGCTCATGTCTGCTGTCAGCCGGTAGCAGAGGTAGTCACAGAGTCAGATCAACGTCCATGTCAAAAGGGAGAACCGGCATTGCTTTGTGTGATTCAGTGTAATTAAGCAAAGCTGGTATTATGAGGGGTGTTTTTGACAACAATATAGCGTGATTCACAAGCTCCTCCCCCTCAGGCGTGGACGCCATTAAAGGAGCAGACCTGCTGTCTGATGCTTGCAGCACCAAATTCAACAGCGGGCTGAGAGCACGGATCATTTGATCCGGTCTGGAGAAAAGTACCCGGCTCACTGTTAAGGCGAGGACACGGGGGCGTGCGAGCTACACTTCACACTGAGAAAGAGAGAGAGAGAGAGGAGAGAGCTGGTGTGCTGAGTCAGAAAAGACAGAAACCAGCAGACGGCCTCTGACTGACAGCTCAGATTGTGTTGCCCTTGTAAATCCCACATATCCACTGACACAGAGAGCACAGGCAGCTCTATACCAGCAATCCAAGATAGTCCGCAGTCCTCTGAAAGGGTCAGCTCAAGCCTGTCTGGGACCCAAGACAGGATTTGAAAATCCCAAATCTCAAAGTTGAAGCCTCCCGGGTGTTTCCCAGGAATTTTCATTAAAATAAAATACATCAAATTAATTTTTCCCATGAAAATCTTGCAGAAACCAGGAATTTTTAAGTGTAACCTGTGTGTTCATATATATGTACGTCTCCAAATCCCATTACAATGCATTTGCTGCATCTAAACACTAAAATTACGAATTTTCCTGTTGCTTTTCATGCTAAAATGGCAGCGTTCAGTTCAAGCTGTTTGGCTAAAACATTTGTGAAATAACTGAACGAAGCAAACAAAGACACTGCAGATGGGTCAACAAATGGCCTAATCAGACATGCAGGCCGTTTGTTCCCAAATCAGAGAGCAGAGCAGCATTTAACAGGTGGAGCATCAAGCGCAGATGATGTCCTCAACATTACGTCCGCCGACAACAGAGCTCACGTGACTCAAATCATTCAAACACTGCTCTGAAATGCGACAGATTTTCCTTCCCTGCCACTGCAGCAGTAATGACCTCAGCTCAGCACTGTGAAGATGGTCAGACGCCGCCCTGTAGCTACTCAGATATATTAAATCTGGCAAGAGAGCATGTGGCTTTGTGGTGTGCTTTAAGAAGAATTGTTTTACAGAAATTTAGAATAAAATGAAAAAAAAAAACATTTTACTTCATTTATGGCAAGAAATCCTGTTTTTTCTTGTTTTAGACACCGAACAATTTCTGATGGACATCACAGAAAAACATTCAACCATCATCAGATGCGCCAACAAAATCAGACTGAAAAACTGCAGCAAAAAATCAAAAAAGAATGAACTTTTTCTAGTTGTTAGCGTCCCTGCAGGGCGTAGTATTCCTAAATATATAAAGCAGGTGTTTTAGTACCCACAACTACAATGAGCTAACAGTAAATCCCACTATAAATTGGCACAAATGACTTTAAAAAGCTACAAACCTCACTGATAAACCTCACTGTGCTGCCCGACCACACACTGTAACAGCACCTCCGTCTCACCGCTCCACCTCTGACCCCGTCTGTCTGCCGCCCACTGAACTCTGACCTCCACCACAGACAGGAATCCGTCACCGCCTGCCGACCGCCAAGTCAGAGCACGACCTTTGACCGCGTCACCCTCATTAGAGCAAGTGTCAGTGTGATGTGAAGCGGGGGAAACTGTGTGTTAGAGTTTGGCCTCGGTCCTTAGGTCACACAACATGACAAAAAGGCCGATATTAAATATATCTGAAAGGTCAAAGGTCAGAGCAGCCTGTTGACGTCCTTGTCTGTCCTTTTAGAAATTTGTCAAAGCTTCATTAATGAGTCTCTGTGGTTCTATCAGCTTGTAACTAAGATGATAAATTAGATTTAAAGGACCAGTTTGCTGTTTTTACTTCATTAACTGCAAATAATTTACACTTTACATCACAGTTGACTATTTTACTATAATATAATCAGTGTTTGGATTCATTTAATTCCTTCCAGATGCCATTAGTGTCATATCATTTTAGTCTTTTATAAGAATCAAATTGCAGAAGTTGCAGAAAGTTTCCATTTGGTGCGATAGTGCTTATATTTCATCATTATTTATAATTATACTATTTTTTTGCTTTGTTTTTCTGCAGAAATATTTTAGTCATTTGTGTATTTAGATTGTCAGATTAACACTAAATTAATAGGAGACAGACACACACACTGAATGGTGGAGAAAGATACACACACTGCCAGCAACAATTAGGCTAATTAATTCATTTGTGGGGTTCAAGTTTCAATTTCATCAGTTTAAATTGGATAATTAACAAGCTGCTTTCAGGGGGCCCTCACATTCATTTTGGTGGAAAACACACACACACACACACACACACACACACACACACACACAAACAGAGTATTTAGACAACCCTCTTTCTTGTTTACCTGCCGGGGTTAATTAATGCTGCTTGTTTGGGGAACGGACTAATCATCAAGTCCCGCCCACCTCCTCCTCCAGCACCTCACCAGCTATTGGACGACGGTGAGATTGACAGGGGTGTCAGTCCTCTCACCTGTTGAGTCTTGTTACTGGCAGCCAATAACAAGATTGCATTATTTTTTTATTACCACTGACAATCACTATTACAATGTTTATTAAACTTGGTCCCCGCAGGCCACCGTATCCTGCATTTCATCAGCCAATTAACAGAAGTGAGACACTAGCTCTGTGCCAAACTGCCTTCAGATATTGTCACTGTGACAATATATGTGTACATGTGTTTATGTGCCATATGGGGACAGTTCAGCAAGAAATGAAGCACCAGTCGATGTCTAAGTAATACAGTGAGTGAGGTGGACAAACGCCATTACACAAAGTGGAGGGGCGTTTTTCCTGCGTGTCCATTATGTTCCGCATACTGGAGTGTGTTCTGCCTCTTAGACCACGACTGCACAGCAAAGGCATAAAGAGAGACGTCACATTCAAGTCAGTGAAATGCTAATAGAGCCTGAGAGTTTCATCTACCTTAACTCAGATAAGAAAAGTGATGAAACTGTTGACATTCAGTCGGTTGGATGGATGAGATCACTCACATAGATATGAATGTGGTTGTATACAGTGTGTACTGTATGTACTCGTGCAAAATGACCTCAAATGACACGGCTGGTAGTTTGCACGGTCTCTTTGAGCCTGGGGGTCTTGCTCCTCTGTAGGAGCCAGGAGCCTGTTGAGTCATACTCTGTCCATGTATATACAACGATGAGACACCGCACTGTCCTTGTAGAGCATCTCCCAGAGCCTCACAGCCTGGAAGACGTCCACACTACTACATTTTCGTTTTAAAACACATCTCTTTTGCTACGTTTTTGCCGTCCGTCCAAACGACTCTGGTGTTTTCCAGCAATGAAAACGGAGACTTTTGCAAACGCTGCTGGACCTGTTTTTAGTTTGAGAACCCTGGGGTTATGTTGTCGCCTGGAAGGGTGAAAA